TGCAAAGTAGGTACTTAGTCGTTACGATTTTCGAGACTCATTTATTTAAATGTCGTCGAACTCATACTTTGTAAAACAACACCACACAATATTTACAACTTAAACTTCACTTTAATTGCTATTTTAGTTACATATATTATGAAAATTCTAATAAATTTAATTTTTAAAACAGCTGATCTGGTCTGATGGTGGAGCATCTTTACAATGGGATTTACTGACACTTCATTCATTACAAGGGAGTGAAGGGGGTAATTCGCTTCACCTTCTAAAAAAATGCAGGCACTTTTGTATGTTTGTAGGGGGGACCAGTAGGAAAGTAGGTAGTACGTAATCGAAAGTTGTTTTTTCCTACAAAGTTCATGGAATTAGAAAAGTGTTTTTTGTAGTGTTGCCACTGCTCGGCATACAATACGGAACTCCGGTGCGACACTGTCACTTATGCAAAAAAAACATTTTTTCAGGAGAAGCGTTTAAAACTTTAACATCCAAAAACATACAATATTTAAGGTTTTTTTTTTATTTTTTTTTAGATGAATAGCTAAGCAGTATAAGCTTTTAAACACTCCTTCTGAAAAAATATTGTTTTTGCACAAGTGACAGTGTCGCACCGGAGGTGCGAATAGTTTAAAGGTGATGCTGATAATAAAATATCTTTATAACAGACATACGTATTATATCGCACTGTCGGCTTGTTATGTTTCGAAGAAGAATAATAATGTGATTCAGTTACTGATATATTTGGGCAACAAAGCTAGTTGCTTCATGTGTCTTATTGTCTTTAGCACGTTTTAATAATAAGGTGAATGTGTCACAGACATAAAAGACCTAGATGTAACCTAAGTATTTTGGTAAACTTAAGGTTTTAAAATAAATAAGTATGTTAATTTTTATTTCATTTATTCAAAGACGAATAATTACCATTGGTCAATTAAACACTCACACTCATTTATACCTTTTATTTATCACTGTAGAAGAACACACGGGAGTATCAAAAAATATAAACATCTTATACAAATGACCAAAGCACACCGATAGCGTGAGGTAACTTGGGTACTAACGACATCTATCGGAAAATTCTTATTTCTATTATTAATTAAACAACCATAATTTATTATATGTATATTATACAGTTGGATTTTATAAAGTAAGGTACCTGATACAAATAAGGCCTCTGCTGAAATAAAGCCTGTAGTGCAGAAAAGTCTATTAAAATATGTTTACATCAAAAATACTTTACACACGCATAGATGACAGTTCTACAAATCGCCAAACTGTGCATAAGCGGTCCGCTAGAGTTCATAGCGTCAGTAGTGGCGGTACTTTGTGAAGGACGAGCTTTTCATAGCGCGTTATTAATTTGTTGTAATCTTTAACGAATTTTAATACATAAAATAAAACTAGACTAAACTTTTTACGGGTTAATGCACGAAACTTTATTTATTTATTGACGTTTCGCAGCCTTTTCAGGTCTGCATCGTCCGAATTCTGAATTCTTCATCGTCATTCTGACGATGCAGACCTGAAAAGGCTGCGAAACGTCAATAAATAAATAAAGTTTCGTGCATTAACCCGTAAAAACTAGTTTTATTTAATGAGTGATGTGCGTGAAAACCTAAGAAACGAATTTTAATTATTCGTTGAAGTTTTGTTTCATGTTATGTATAGGGATCACAATATAACTAATCAAAAAGTTGGCTTTGACTTAAAATTTAACTTTTTCGAATACGCGAATTGAATACTTCTTATAACTTTTATGAAGTATAATGTACTAAATAAAACCTACTTTTATAAAAGGCCGTATTTTTATCAAATATATATATATATATTCATTTTCCAATATTTAATAATATTTACGAGAAGATATGTTAATTTGCTAATTTTTGTTTGTATGGATATGTTTTTTTATATTATTCTTTATCTCTTGCTAGTCAGATTTGAAGTCGCATTTAATCATCATCAGCCTCTTTATGTCCCCACTGCTGGGGCACAGGCCTTCCCTATGGATGGAATAGGGAGATTGGGTCATGACCCACCACGCGGGCCCAGTGCGGATTGGCGGGTTCTAACGATTGCAGATGCAACCGGGACCAACGGCTTAACGTGACTTCCGAAGCACGGAGGAACTCGAGATTTTTGGTCACCCATCCAATGACCAACCACTGCGAAAGTTGCTTAACTACAACGATCGCAGCCGAATGTGCTAACCACCTGCGCCATCGAGCTCGCATTTAATATGCGACTTCAAATCTGAATAGCAATTTAAGCATAATATTTAGTAAAACAAATTAGAATGTTGTTCAAGGATCCCATGGAAACACTTGATTTGGTCCCCCTAATGCATGTTCACGCACTGCAGACTTATTTTCGCGCCTTTTAATATACATGCATTAGGGGGACCAGACCATTACATTAGATTTGATAAACCACAGATCCTAGCAACTGAGCAACGATTCATTCCTAGAATGATATGCGAGGCTATTGAGATTAAAAAATATCCAAATTTCAATAGGAAAGATGGTTGGTATATACCACCAGCTTGGGAACCCATTATATAAGAGATAAAATCCCAACCCCGAGCACACACAGCATCAACAGATACTTTTAGTTATTTTTGTTTGCATGATTTAACATAAGAAGGAGATAGAAAGCCTCTCTGAGTTTGTTTCGCCGGTTCTTCTCAGAAAGGTCTCCTAATTTTGAAATCGGGGGTAGTTTACGGTAGTTAGGGTCAAATAAATAAACTCAAAATTACAAAAAAGAATTTAAAATAAAGTACTTTATTTACTAAATTAACTAATAAATTCATACATAGACAATAAAATTTTAAAAATGTTCCAATTAAATATCCGAAAGCTCAATAAAAGTCTTTTGAAGGTAGCTCGACAGAGTAAATAAAAAATCTTTATTCTGACGATGCAGACCTGAAAAGGCTGCGAAATGTCAATAAATAAATAAAGTTCGTGCTGATGCCAGTTAAAACTAGTGTTATTTAATGAGTGATGTGCTTGAAAACCTAAGAAACAAATATGTTTTAAAACACTTTTAAATTATAGGGCCTTTTAAAAACACTATGTTTTAATCTAAAGAAAAGTTTACCAGAAAAAAATCCACGCGGACCAGGCAACGGACGGGAACCCGAACCCGCACCCCTCGCAATCCGGGCGAATGCACTGACCATTATGCTACCACGGCCCTATTCGCCGCGTCGAAATTTTCCTAGCCTTAATCTGCAAGGCAGCGCTATCTCTTCGTATTGTAGGTAAGCTTAAGGCTAGGAAAATTTCGACGCCGCGAATAGGGCCGTGGGCGTGGTAGCATAATGGTCATTGAACCTTAAAGTTCAATTTATTCAATAAAAGCAGAATTGCCTGCCCAGTTTCATTTACACACAGCTCAAATTGACATAACGGAAACATTATAGGAATCTTGTATGTGTGGTGTAAACCCGCGCTCCAAAGCATACCCAAAGGCTTTCTATATAGGTATACATGAAGTTACCACATACTGACAAGTTTTTCAATAGATTGTGAGTCTTATAAGAAGTGTGACAAAGCTCAATGTCAGTTGAAAAATTTTCATAGTTTTGGGTAACTTGATGGATAGCTTTCTGTATTTCATAATGCGATTCAAACAGCGGCCAAAGTAAAAAGGGATGTATCTTCTTCTTCAACAATAGGATAGATATCATGGCAATTTAAATGAGCTTGACTTTATACTCGATTATCGAATTTGGTAGTTTAGCCACACGCCAGTCTGACCCTTGTACCCTTTATTACAGGCTTTTATTTAATTTTACCTGTCTGTGTCTCTTTGTTATCCAATCTTGTATTCGTTTTATTTTATTTAGCTGAAACTGTTTAATTGATTTTGCTTTTTAAATTGTATTTAAGACATTATGAAGTAAAAGTATATAAAGGTGGTGTTAAAATATTTAAAACGGATATAATAATACTGTTGACTCTTTACCTACTCAACTAAGAGAAAATCCGGCCAAATGGTTGTCGTGCCACGCGCAGTGTGGTTCCGTAGTTGCCTGTAGTTACCATAATATATTTGAGCAAGAGTTTTTATTTTCTAGATCGGATATTAGAAAAACCAATTATTATCAATCTATGTATCTCAACTAAAATACCTAAATAAACGTCAAACTGCTTCTCGAACTCAATATTAATTCGATATTATTATTTTTATAATAAATACGAATGATAACCGCCGATTCTTTTTTTATTTTCGGCCAGGCAAGGGAGTGGGTGTGACATCCTAATGGATACATCGATACAGTCGTTGATCACTTCATTCATCTGAAGTGACCGCCGATAATTTTAAGTGCTTATATACTTTTTATAAAAACGTTAGCGCGACTCCGTTGCTGTTGGTACTCGCGGTAGCGTTGTGGAACTAATGATATTTTATACTGATTTTTAAATAGTTATTTTAGATTTTGTTGCAATTCAAGGTTTTACGCTACAATAACTTCATCTACGTCACTATTAATGTTTGGTTCTAAGGAATTTTCAATAGGTTCAACCAAAGTTGAACGACTATTACTCTTAAAGTAACAAATATATCTCAACCGTTATAGTGTTCTTTAAAATATCATTAAAAGCATTAATATCATGAATTTTTCCAGGTTTTACAAGTCAATAGTTTAGCTTTTAGCGGGACGCCCTACAATTCAATATTTCGTAAATGGATCCCAAAATCGAAAAATAGTCTTAGGAACCCCGAAGTAATATTAAAGGACCTATTTATGCCAATCATGAATTCCATACGAGTTTATATAATATACAGGTTCTGCATTGTTTGTGCATCCGTCGTTAACACGAAATTACAAACATATAAGACAATATAAGACTTAAAAAATACAAGGGTTGTGAAATGAAATGAATAAAATGAAATGACAAAAAAACCGTGATTTTGCTCTGTTGTATCTTTTAATTGAATTTTTCCTCATTATTATGTAATTTTATGCAGGAACACACTTTATACTAATGTTTCAGCACAGATCCTCTGGACGAATGTAGCGTGAAAAACTGCCTTTTCATCGGTGACAATAGTAAGATACATACTGCTAACGCTGTGCTGGTTCACATACAACATGGAGAAATACCAGCCGTCAGCAACAGGAATCCCGATCAGCTCTGGGTGTTCTTGTCTGACGAATCCCCAAAGAACAAGTTCACGATGGCCAGGGGTCAACCTAACCTTGCCGATTGGGATCACAAATTTAATTGGTCCATGACATACAGGTCAGTGATCATAGACATTTTAACGGGTCTACCTTTATATCGCAGACATTTTAATGTCATATTATTTCGCCGAAAATCATTTAGCAGACTCATTCAAACGCATAATAATTTTGTAAGCCAGACTTGTCTTTAGGCATAAATTTAATGTTCACAATAATTCAGTAGCATAACACCATATTTGGCGTTTTACCGACCGCTGCCGAGGCATGCTCGCTTAGCTCGCAAGGTTCGCGCTAAGTTTAGGTCACGAAAGTTACTTAACCTAACCCACTGACCACAAACACCGATTGTTATGCTTAACGAAATTATGTAAATTATTTTTGGCAAAATTGTGCTTTTAAGATTCGGCCATCTTGAAAGATTGCCATTAAAAATTCGGACTATAAACATTCGGCCAAACAATAAATATATCAACAACAAAAAACTCCTTACAGTTTAAAGAAGATTATGACAAGTGTGTTATGACAAATGAATTTTGGAGCAAGAAGATTTTGTCAGATAGGTTCAACACTGATATAGTGTTAGTACGTACCTCTGCGATATACACAAACATCGTTGGAATTGCTTATACTCTGAAATACTTTGCCAAGCTGCCAAATTGCTTGATACTCTTTAACAAATTGTGCGTTGTAGGTCGTACTCGTGGCCCCGTTTGTACCAAATGCACCATTGACTTGCACTATCTATGATGTAATTTAACGTTGAGGTAATAGTACTACCTAGTTAAGACGTAAATCATGCGTTAAGTATGTATGACGCAGATGAATTTAATCACGCGAAACAAAAATTTAAAAGTGTACATAAGATTAATAGTGATTTGTAATTTTGTGTTAGGATTCCGTACCCAAAGGGTGTTAGCGGAAAGGGGTTACTTAGCACTGTCTGTCCTTATGTAATGTTTATTTCCATAGCTACTAAATCTTTACAATTATTAATAAAAATCGTGGTTTGCTCTGTTTTTTTCTTGACCTAATGCATAATAGGTACTGTACAGTGGTACCCATTGCGCATGTGTCCGAGTCACATTTGGTAACTTTTTTCAATTCCAACCAATCATAACTTCTCTGTTACAGAAGTGACGCAGATGTCCCTGTTCCGTATGGAAGAACTTTGGCCCTGAAAAGCCCATTAATGCGAAACACATTATCTGAAACTGTAGCGAATTACGTGCCACATTGGAAATATAAGCGGCGAGATGTACTTGTCACAGTTCTTATGTCAAATTGTCACGTATCGGACCGGATGCGTTATTTGAAGTCACTACAGAAACATATTAATGTCACTGTTTATGGAAAATGCTCGGAGGACAATAAAAAAAGGTATGTTTTACACTAATAACACATTATTGAAGGACTCTTGAAAAAATTAAGAGATCATTTGATGATCAGTTAATGTAATAATCAAAGCCAAGCTACATTCTTCCCAATATAATATAATGTATTCTGATTAAGTTTTTGTTTGAGTTATAAGTATCTACATAAATGACTAGCGATTTGTCTCGGCTTTGCACGGGTGTAATTTATTTTAGAGTTATAAATCATGCCTTTAATACTCGGGGATAAGGAAGCATTGTAATGGTAAAAGAATTTTTGAAATGGGTTCAGTAGTTTTTGAGTTTAATTGTTACAAACATACAAATCTTTTCTCTTTATAATATTAGCATGGATATGTACGAGTATATTATTACAGAAACCCATGCCTTGGTTAAATATTTGGTCATAGTATGCTAGGTACATAACCTATTTATTATTATCAGTTTTTTGTGGCCATGCTGTCGATAAAACTGTGTTTAACTAACAAAAATATAGTACGAGTTGTTTAGAACTTCAGTTATTAGTTATTTATTACCCGTATTCGTAGTATCAATCAATTATCTGTTTGGTAATAAGTACTCCAGTTGTGTCAATTTGGGATTAAGTCTCATGAAATATGACATGCAAAATGCATCTTCAGTAAAAAAATTAATTAAACATTGTAGAGGACTTATCTAATCTACTGACACGTTTAAGAAATAATTCCCTCGCAAGGTGTATTTAATTTTTAGAGTTCATTTCCACATAAAAAAACAATTTTCCACAGGAAACCATTTTTTTCACGCAGGCAAAGTCGCACCTACTAGTTAGTTACCTATAAAGTATGATTATTATAATTTGTTTGTTATTTATGATAAGGTTAAACTATAAGTAAAAACCATCGTGACCTCATAGATGCTTGCTTGATAGACACGGAGGATGTGATTCATCGAGGTTCTTTAATTGAGTTTCATTGCATTTTATAGCAAGCAAAAGCAAATTTTAACGTCAAACGTTTTAAGTTTAAATTAATAAATCACTTGCATTAAGACTTTGGAGGGTTTCGATGAAACACATTATCTAATTATGAAGGTACATATTATTTAGGTATTTGTAGGGTACCTACTTAGCATTTATGTGTAATCGTGTTACGGATATCACGAATATGTTTCTTATGATTAAGCGTTTTTTCTAATGAACCTAAGATACTATTAAAATGTTAGGAGTTGTCTGTCATATATAATTAATGTTAGGATTTTATTATAATTGTTGCAACGTCGGTCGATAGAAGTAGACACCATGGCGTGTAACCGGTTTTGAAAGTACCGGCAAAAAAAGGTTAAAAAGGTTTTTAGTAAAGCTTTCGTTCGGAGCGCGTCCGAAATGACGCGAAATGAGCGGTACCTAAAACCTTGACAAACCGGTTTAATCCAGAGCGACACGTGCACATGTCGGTATCGCTTGAAGTTTGTTTTGTTTGATCTAAACAAGTCACAACTTGTTAATGCTCAGAGGTTAATGCAGTTATTGACACGTTTGCTAGCGTTTAGTGAGTCAAGTTATTCATTTTGTAATTGTATACTGACACACTAGGTACTTTCACTCACTCGCTCTGAAGTTGGAAAGAAACTGACATAAAATCATTATAAATTTGAATAGAAACGGCGAAGCCGGTGCCGTCAGTAAGAGCGAAATGAAACCCTATAAAAACCGCTAAATTGATTCAAAACCTATTTGATTTCGCTTTTTAGGAAAACCGGTTTTTTAAGGTTAAGGTAGAGCCAAACCTAAATAAAACGCTCCTAATGTACTTGATACTGATTTAGGTTTGAAATTTAACCGGTAAACAAGCCCTGGTAGATACTGATCACTCAATAGTAATAATAAAAATAATAGTTTGTGTCTTTACTACTACGTTACTTAAGTCTAGTGTTAGTAAAGTGTTTTTTATAACAAATTAGAGATCTCGAAGACAGGGAAAGTAAACACCATCTTAAAATAGACCACAGTAAACTAATAGTAGGGGAGGCCACGATGCTAAATGGGGATTTACTCGAGCGTCGTGGAGACCTATTGAATTTTGAAGGTCAGATGGTAGACAGAAAAAAAGGTTATATGATGCATACCCTTTCAGCGGTGGAACAAGCGTCTAGAAGCTTTAAAAAATGTAAAAAAAAATAGTTACATGGAAATACTCGAGCGCGGCAGATATTGATATTGTATATGCCCCTTGTATCTTTGATGACGGAAGAATGTTAATCTGCCGGTTTGCATGGTGGGACTAGCCGTACGGATGGATTGAAAATGTGGGAAAAAAAATTTACTCGAGCGCGTCAGATATTCAGAGGGGATGTTAAGTGAGCCTAGTAAATGAAGCTCAGATCCAAAAGTCTGACGATTCGGACGCGACGCAAGCTCGTGACGGCTTTTTGAAAGTGTAAAAAAAATCGCCATCCGGAAATACTCGAGCGCGTCAGATTTTCATACAGGCGGTTCAGCTTGATGCCCTGGTCATGCTGATCCATAATCTGACGAATATTTGGAGGGATTTTCTTAATCAGACGGTTTAAAGATATTTTTCTCCGTGATGTTTTTCAAATAATTGAATGTGATAAATAAAATTCATAAAGAATAGCATGCAAATAAAAATAAGCTGAAAATCTAATAAGGGTTAAATTAGGCCAAGATACACTCATTTTAAAAAATGATGTTTCATCCGAAAGTTCAAGATTATCGTACGTTGTATTCGATCTTCTGAGAGTAGGTTTACTCCGACGATACTCCAAAACCGTCTTGCATTTCCTTATTGTTTCCGATGTAAATTTTACAATCTTTTGACATGTATTTTGTCCAGAAAACACACACTTTATAATATTGTCACTCATCTTTGTGATAGTAAATATTTAACTCACAAAAATTTAAATAAAACAAACAAACCAGAGCGATGTACATATAGTACCAAGAGGTTCACGAGCACTGTTATCAGCTGTGAAAGCGTAATGGTAGACAGAAAGTGATTTGGGGACGGTGCGAGAGAGTGGAAGACTGAGAAAGAGCGAAATAGAGAAAGGCGCGTAGTATGAAATACATGCTTCGCTGCAGCTGCACGCGCAACACTTTATTAACGATTTTTGTTACTTCAACCTACCTTTACCTACAACCGCGCTCGAGAATGTCCAGACATCGTTTTTTTTTGCAACTTTGCAACCCTCCCACTCCCTTACGTCACGCTCAAATCGTCAGATTATTGAACTACACACTTTTTAGTATGTAATTAAACCACCATACCTTAATCTGACGCGCTCGAGTATTTCCGCCTACCGATTTTTTTACTATGCTGATCGGCTGGTCTACTCGCGCGGCACTACATGGAGCACTCAGATTTGGTAGAGGTACTCAACTAGATGTAAGGTAAATTCCCATATATTAATCTGCCGCGCTCGAGTGAATCCCCAAATCCCCTCTTGGGCTCCCCTATTATAAGATTATGATGGTGTTGTGTTTCTGTACCTAAGGCTGAGCGCAGACTAGAGTCTCAATAGTTGTAAGAAAGAAAAGCAACCTTCAATTACTGGGGGAGCGAGAAGAAGGTATGTGGGACTCCTCCCTGTCCCCTTCAGCCAGCCCTGGAGCTCACTGAAGTGAACAGGGCCCTACCTACCCGACACGCACTATGAGGACCGCGGTCCCTCTAGTGCATGCCGAGAGAGTCACACGTACAATTGCAAAACGGCTGCGCAGATGACGTAAATATTAGGTACACCGAATGGCGTATAATATAAAGGCAGGTTATATGCCAACATTATTGCATTTTAAAATGGCACCAGTAGTCCCCGCCCCAATTGCCCTTGGCAACAGCCGCCAATAGAGTACACTAAAGTAGTCTCCTTTACTCTTATTCATAAAGTTGATTACGTCTAGCTCTTTAACCTTTATGTGTCAACGGTGTCAGCAACTGTCGAAATAAGTAATCACTAAATATTTTTACACTGATTTCTTCTTCTATGACGAGAAGCTTCTATGACGTCTCTATAACTTAAAAACATCTTAGGGCACACTCTTTATATAGTGGACGACTGATAAAATGGAAATGTTGTTTACCACATAGCAAATACTTTTTACCCGGCTGCGCAATGCAAGAGCGCGAAGCGCGACGCGCAGACAGGGTTATGTGTTTAACAGTCTATATATGTATGTTTGTTCCTTTGTGGCACACTAGAGACCAAACGCCTGGACCGATTTTGATGATTCATACATCAATCGATTCGTCTCAATTATGGGAGTGCTACTAAAGATATGATAGTAATTAAAATTCAATATGGGCAAAATTGGGCGCCATATTGTGACGAAGTAAAAAAAATAAGTTGACAAAATATATCGAGTGGGGTATCACTGTCTAGATAATCAAAAATCATATTTAGGTTCCTAACACCATTTTTCATTTAATATGATTGTTTAGGATCTACAACGCTTTAAAGTTGTATATTAACCACTTACGCTTTTAATTTCAATCTTACGTTTGTATGGATCTTTGTTACTCTTTCACCTAAATAATACTGAATGGATTTTAATGAAACTTAACAGTAATATAGCTCATATATGATAATTACATATATATAATAATTTATGTAGTTATTGAGTGAATTGGCCAATATATAACAATAAGTGTCACATAAGACGGAAAAAAATCTCCCATCTGCGAGCCATTTTGGCCTGCACTGCAAAAACAGTAAAAGTTACATGAATGTAATGTATAGTGAAAATGTATCTCTTAAATAGTTCTAAAAAAAAGTCCGTGACACCATATATCTATTCTTAATGTGTAAGTCATTACCGCTAAAATAGTGAATCAAAACTAAAATATTATTTGATATCTATTTCCAAAATGCATATTTTGTATTAACAAATCATTTTTTATCAAAACAAATACTTGTATCGCTTTTGATATTTAAAGACGATAAACTTTGCTTTTTACACTATGTCAGTTCGACAAATATTTAAAAAGTTACAACGATGACAAAGTGATAGCGCGGTGTACTAAGTATGTAAAAGAAAAAAAAATGGGCTATTCGCAGTATCTGATCCTATACGAAGCACTAACAATAAAACTGTGATACAGTTCCTTCTTATTAAATGATGAAAAATATATTATCTAACTAACTAACTTTGCTTTGGTGATTGCACAATTATATAATTTAGTGATCTAAGGCAGTTGCCACCATTGTCCAAAACAACAAACGGGAATTACTGCTTTCTTCAACCTGCGACATAAACGTCATTGATTGGTATTGTATATAGGGTGATTAAAAACATTTGAAGTTATTTCTGGCATCTACATATTGGGTTTCTGTGAATTATGTAGGTATATCAAATTATGACACTAGGGACTGACACTGCATTTGTGTATATCACAATCTTAGTCGTCCGGCATTGACATGACAATGCAGCCACTACCAATTTTAAATAGTCGACGAATAAAAGTAAATGAATTTTATATTTACTGCTAAACTATTAAAAAAACATAAACAAAAGATGACTTTTTGAGTAAGTGCTAGTTTACTATAAAATTTACATACATTAGAGATATTTATGTAATGACTTAATAAATCAATCTTTTAGACCGACGCAAGGTACTTAATAATTCCCGCGATATTAATTCCCTTACTGAAATAACAAGACTACGGTATATACCGTCTTAAAATACTAACTAACTAAAAAGTGTGAAATAAAAAAGATAAATTTAAAAAATCAAAAAACCCGACTGCTTAATTATACTTCAAATAAAAACTGAAAAGAAAAAAACAAGTCCAGTAGTCTATAATACTGTTAATAAGGAACAAAGCTACTTTAACAGTCGGGACCCACTGTTGAAAAATATTATGTATTCTTGAATATCTAATGGGTCCCGACTGTTAAAGTAGCTTTGTTCCTTATTAACAGAATTATAGACTACTGGACTTGTTTTTTTCTTCTCAGTTTTTATTTGAAGTATAATTAAGCAGTCGGGTTTTTTGATTTTTTAAATTTATCTTTTTTTTATAAAAAAAGACAGATTTGTCGTTGATGTGCGCCCTCGCATACATTTGACTTGTCGCAGTGCAGTTCCTGTGCACATTAGACTTTTTTGTCTATGAGACGTCTCGTTTGAAATGTGCGCATCTTCATAAATTTTGTTAAGAAATAGTCTGTCTAGAAACTGTTGTGACTTTGATCTGCGCTCAGACTAAAGTCCCAAATTCAGACAGGCAAAGTGAGAATGGCAGAAGTGGCACACTCAACTGCCGCATCTCATCATCAACATCACAGCCTATTAATGTTCCCACAGTTGGGACGCAGGCCTTCCCTATGGATGGAATAATGAGATAGGGCCGTGACCCATCACGCGGGCCCAGTGTGTATTGGGTGGTGTTGACGACTGCAATTGCAGCCGGGACCAATGGCTTAACGTGCGTTCCGACGAATGGAGGAGCTCAAGATCCATCCAATGACCGACCATTACGAAAGTTACATAATTTCCACGATCGCAGGCCGAATTTGTTATCAACCATCCAAGCTCCTCTACAAGATCTGCTGTCTTCGAAGCTAAACTCGTTGCACCTTGCAACTTAAAAATATTAACTAGTGAAATAATTTCTATTTCAGTTGCCCCGGACACTTCAAAGAAGACTGTGAGGTTGTGAACGAATATTTATTCTATTTAGTTTTCGAAAATTCCCAGTGCCGACAATATTTGACTGAGAAGAGTTTTCATAACGCGTATAAGAAAGGCGCCATCCCTATCATAATGGGACCACCACTCGAAGATTGTGAAAACCTTCTGCCGCCAAATTCGTTTTTGCACGTCGATAATTACGACTCGGCAGAATTTCTCGCTAAAGACATTATGAGGATAAGCAAGAGTGACGATTCCCTATTAGGATACCACCAATGGAGGAACGACTTCGAAATTGTAAACGAGCATGGATATTTTGGTTCTAAATCCTTTCACTATTGCAGGTTGTGTGAAGCCTTAAATTATAATAATCGTACGAGAACTTCGTACAGTTTGCTTGATCTGGAATTGTTTTTGGATATTAAAATGCTGTGCAAGACGTAGGTAACATCACATTTATATGTCTCATTATGAGATGGCATAGGATTATTAATTAGTTCAAATTCATTACTGTAAAGGACTACTGAATTCCACCAAAAACTATCTGCATTTTAATTTTGGAGTTGAGTTGAGTTGGGTTCTAAACAAGTATTAAATAATGTATAATATTATCACAAAAAACCTGAACTATAATTATGAGTTTATTTTCTTAGTCTCTGAAAAAACAAGAACGCTGTTTTTAAAACAAATACCTATGTGAAATAAAGTAAAGCCACTCAACTTCATGCCGCTTTTTCAAGCGGCTTGACATCCAGTGGCATGACAGTTAAAGCGGCAGGATACGCCACCAGTTCACGCAAAGAAGCGAAGTCAACATGTCTTGCACAGATGACGACATCGCTCTGGTCGGTCTGACAGTTGGTTTATGTCCCAAAAAAAGAAAAGAAAAGAAAAGAAAAGGGCGTTTTTGGTGCAATAAAAGAAGAAGCACTTAGTCGCACTTAATTGGCATTAAATGTTTGGCCTAAAGACCAATAATCATGAAAAATTGTTTCCTAGACTCGAAATTATATTTGAATTACTGTAGAAACGAATATTATTGACGGATACCCCTGAGAACTTCTATAAACCATATACACTGAACATATTAAAATAATAAAAAAACAAATAAGTTATATAGTAAACTAGGGAAATTAAGCCAAGTACCAAAATTATGGATTAGATTCTACCTGAATCTAATCCATAGATCCTGGAATAGCGCATGTAGATTAACAGATAGTTGCCTGTTTTTAAAGTTAATGCATAAGAGTAACTTTTAAAATCAGCTGTCATTTCCGGTTATAATAAGGTAGGTACTCTGTGACAGAAACTGTGTGATGATTGTGAATGAGCCACAGATTAGAGAGAATTTTTAAACTCTCGTTAACCAAAGAAAGCTAACAGATTTAGGTTCTATAGCCATATATTCAGTAGCTTCATTATTTTTGTTATGTTTTTAAAATAACCATATTTTAGATTTTTAGTGTATCACACCTTATAATTTTATTTATTTATTAATTTATAGTCAGGGAACGTAGGCCCATAGATAGATACCTTAAAGTCTAACATATATACAGATTATAATGTGTTTATGGAGGTGTTTGGCGAAAAATGTATGGCAATAGACTTTATGATGTCGCCTGCCATCTATAGTAATTGTCTGAGCACATTTGCATCTAGTAAAAATGATAATATAGTTGTGGATATTAATACCATAGTATATTAAAAAAATGATTTATTTTATCGATCTTTACAAAATAGATTTGTTTTTATGTTAAATAAACAACTTCGATCAGTCTTTCGCTGAATGTTACTACACCCATAGCCATTAAAAATGATTCGTATGTTTTCCAAACCGGTAAAATAAAAGTCCTTTTTAAAGTAAATACATTTTACAAAGGTGTCCGTTGAAATCTAATAACTGTAAATTAAATTATAAATTACGCCAAGAATTACCGTGTATGTCAATATTTTTTGTGCATTTGGGCCAATTTGAGCAATCTCCTTTATTGCATAAGTTATGGTAATCTTTACTGTTTACCAGCCATAAAAATGGTTTATTGCGGATTACTAAACAAAAACTCTTCCAGCACCTAGCGACGTCTATCTTAATTTTGTGACATTTTTCCAATTTTTTTACATCCGTAAAATTAGAAACAACTGATGGCTTGACAGTTTGCACCGCACTTACGTTCAAACAGTTTGACGACATAACAGTCGGCAGATGGAAAATCCATCCTTCCGTCAAGTGGTTTGTCCTTCCAAAATGTCTCTCCACACACGGTTAGTTTGGCTTGATCAAGCCTATTTCATCAATTCACTTGATTAAGCGGCACGAAGGTGAGTGGCCACCATTATATAAAAATGCACCTGTTACGCCACCACATTATAACGTTACCTTTAGGTATTAACAAAGATAAATTAATCAGTTTATTAAAATGAGGTTATCGCTTAAAACTTTTGCTAAAGTTCCTTAAACTATCAGTATCTATACTGAAGCAAGTTTTTATGAAATTACATTTTTAATTTGAGTATTATACTGAAGCATGCAAAAACCTGTGTTTTATGAGTGCCACTGTATATATTTGTGTAGGAAAGTTTTAATACGTATGTTAAAAAAATAGACAATAAATAATAATACTTATTATAAAATAAATTGTAAATAAGATTCGCTGTTTCTTTTCTTAACTGTATAAATATAAATCTGTGTATTAATCCACCTAAATTGAGTATAAACGGCGGACATTAAATCTTTAGACCAGGGTCGATAACTTTAAAAATGGTGAAAAGTGAAAAAAAATTAAAGTAGGATGAAACCCATTAGAATAGGTAGAGAATATAACAAAAATGAAAGGAAAAATAAATTACGGGCGATCTGAGGTCGGGAAGGGGGAGGGGGTGAGTTTTTAAGGGTAAAAATGGTTAATCTCGATTTCCGGTAAAACTGCAAGTCCTATGAAAAAAAGTTAAATAGCAAAGTTGTAGGTAATAAAAAGATCTACAACTTTTGTATCGACACTTTTTTCACATAACCTCAAAATTTATGTGAAAAATGCGAATAACAGTTTTTGGTTTTTGATTTTTATTTTTTGCAAAAAAAATATTTTTTCACGAAATTTGGTGAAAACTTACCTTTGTATGTCCCAAACATACAGTAATTTTTTTGATTTAAAATATTCATTTTTTCACCTTATTTTGACTTAATATCCAAAAAGCACCCTAATTTTCAATCGAAAATTCTCACGTCAAAATATCTGCTTTTTTAAAAAAGTTGGGGTGTTTTTTGTTTGATGAAATCTCTACTTTCTGATGGTATAAAAAAATATACACTACTATGATAAATGTTCTCAGAAAATGCAAATTTATAATGAAAAAAACTCGAATCTGAAAATCCTATTTTTAATACCTACTTAAAACAACTATTTTTGCATGTTTTATGGATTTGTAATTTTTCTGTTTATCAATATAACATGAAATCTTACGTTTTTCGAGTAATTAAAGTGTAAATTTTAATAAATAGTTCAAAATTATACATAATGATTCAAATCAATTTTTCGGATTGGAGTTTTTTTCATTATTAATTTGCAGTTTCTGAGAACATTTACCATAGTAGTGTATATATTTTTTATGCCATCAGAAAGTAGAGATTTCAACAAACAAAAAACATCCCAACTTTTTTAAAAAAGCAGATATTTTGACGTGAGAATTTTCGATTGAAAATAAGGGTTTTTCGATATTAAGTCAAAATAAGGTGAAAAAATTAATGTTTTTAATCAAAAAAATTACTGTATGTTTAGAGAACATACAAAGGTAAGTTTTCACCAAATTTCGTGAAAAAATAATTTTTTTGCAAAAAATAAAAATCAAAAATGAAAAAATCTCGGTTATTCGCATTTTTCACATAAATTTTGAGGTTATGTGAAAAAAATGTCGGCATAAAAGTTGTAGATCTTTTTATTACCTACAACTTTGCCATTTAATTTTTTTTCATAGGACTTGCAGTTTTACCGGAAATCGAGATTAACCATTTTTACCCTTAAAAACTCACCCCCTCCCCCTTCCCGACCTCAGATCGCCCGTAATTAATTTTTACTTTCATTTTTGTTATATTCTCTACCTTTTCTAATGGGTTTCATCCTACTATAATTTTTTTGGTCTCAAAAATTATCGACCCTGGTCTACTTCAACAGTTTCTTTCTACCTATTGCTTGGTCTTATAAACAAAATTTGTGTGGTTTTATGACACCACGATGCAAGTGAAACTTTTAAAATCATTTAACGATCGCCGTGGCCGAGTGGTTTGTACGCCGGTTTTCATGGTGTCGCTGACTCGAGAGGTCCCGGGTTCGAATCCCGGTGGGGGCAGATGTTTGTGTGATGAATACGAGCATTTGTACTCCAGTCATTGATGTTTAATATGTATTTCTTTAAAAATATACTTATATATGTACTGTTTATGTATTCTATCCGTTACCCTAGTATCCCTTATCACAACCCACTAATAAAAGTCACACTTAAAAAACTGGAAAGATTTTTAGAACTAAAGGATTTTTATCGATTACGCCTTATTCGGCTTATCAAAGGAAAACAAATTCTAACTCAACGTCTTTCAGAATATAAGGAAAGCTATGTTTGAGATATGATACAAGTTTGTTTTTATTGCTCTAAGCGGCGTTTCAGTTAAGCAGGCAATTACATTAAGAAGGATACAGGATTGTATGAATATTTTTACGAGACCATTCTACCTTACTATGATCGACCAAAATTTCGATTCAGTTCTCAATAAGAACTGATTAAGTTCTGCTTTAATTTCGTACTATGACCTCCAAAACTAAAACCTAAACTGAGTCGATCGGATAGGGAACGGAATGAATGATAGTCACAGATTAAGTACTAGTTGATAAAAGTCTGATATATATTGAAACAGCTACACATTTCTATGTATTGTTTTTTTTAATTTATTTTAATCATGGATACAAGTTTTTTTAAATAATAATCCACAATTTAAACTAATACTTTCATAGGGCCATCATTAATTTTAATATCCCAACACTTTATTGAATATTAACTTGGGTGGTCACAAGACTTGTGATCGCGAAACCTGCAAACTGCAAATAACGAAAATACCATCCATTCAAAAAATTATTAGTTAAAAATATTGATGTAGTATGTGAACACATAAAAAATAAGTAAATCCATAATTCATCTAAAGTTACTGTAACTGAGTATCATTCGTATAATAATCAAGTAAGTACTTATACTTACTTTGTAACTTCGGTAAATTCGTCGTCTCGCGTGAAGTGTATAAACTTGCTACGACGAAGGATAGACGAGTTTCCAAAATGAGATAATCAAACAAACTTACTTCGCGAAGCCTTAAACATGAAATAGAAGCGGCAATCCAGACAGTTTACGTACTTTCCTGATTGTTTACGTAGGTAAATTGAATTATTTAAGCTGCTTCTTGGTTCACGAGTTCGATCTGCTATTGGGAGTCACGCTAATTCGAAATGGGTGGTCATTGGATGGTTGAGGAAAAATGAATTACTTTAAATCTCTCTGTGCTTCTTTGGAAGAGATTAGGCGCTCCGCGCACTAGATGGCCACGACCACGATTAACCAAAAAAGCCATATGAAAGTTGTGCACTTAACCGCAATGGCTATCTGGCCGCGCACTGGGCCAGCACGACTGGTCGTTGCGACCAACTTACGTGTAGTTTAATAAGAGCGCTACACACT